ATTCACTTGTGTTTTTTCTTTTCATTTGTTTTGCATCTGGCAAATTACCTCTAGGAGCAAGTTGCATGCTAGCACTTTTGCAAGGTAAGAAGTTGATTGGGTGGGAATAGCCAAACACCATGCTCTACTTGATTGCTAGGACCATGGGATTGTGGCTAGTTATATATTAGTGAATGAGAGGTTTTGTGATCAAATGGTGATGCATTGAATACTCTAGTGAGTGGATGGATAGGCTTATGGAGGCTTCTTTGCGGGAATTGATATTTTTGTTGAGGAGGGTAGTTTATACCTCTCTTGCTTGATGGTCACATTAGATATGCATACTGTGTTGTAGATGCTAGGTACTTTGACTTTGTACACGTTGGCTCACTGAAGATGATAGGATCTGTACCTTCCTTCCTCCTTTCCCCATATATTTGGTGTTTCATTCTGTTGAAAACTCCTTTTTTTGCCTGGTAAGGCCGATGCCTACTTTTTGAACATTTTCTGAAACTTAAATAAACACCCTGTTCTTATTCTGAGTTGCTTCCTTTAATCCTGCTATTCGGCATCAAATAGAATCTCCTGCTGAGATTAATGCGCTTTGGTACCATGGGGTCATAGTTGCAAAGGTCTTCCTTTTGAGTCTTGTTATCAAGTGTTCTGTTGGATTTCAATGCGAATGAACTTATCATAACCATCAGCTATTTTGGCGGGTAATGCACAATTTAAATGATGTATACAGCAGTGCATTTTATGATCTCATGGAAGAACAAACTCGTGTGAGGCGGGCACTTTTGGTCTGGGGGAATGACTAACAGTAGTATTTATTTGTCATGATTTGACCGGTTCTTGCGCCTGTGTAGGTGACCAGAATTTGAATTAGCTCATGCACCGGTGACTGGTTTGGCGCTGGCGTGGTTATGTTGAACTGGCTGAATGTCAAGTACTGTAATTGCTTAAAAAAATAAAAAGGGGTACTGTAATTCTTAGCTTCCTCCAATAATCATGGAAGTGGGAGTGAGACTAGGGAGTAAGGGAGATCTAACTGCAATTCTCGTCGTATCCTACTTTTATTCATGCTTTCCTGTAGAGATGCTATCAATTTCCCTCAAACAATTGGTCAAAAGTTAAAGAATTGCCCGCAAGATATTCTGCAATCTTAATCCATTTCTACAGTTTTGTGTGTAGTGGAAAAATCTTAAAAAAAAAAAAAAAAAAACTTGTCCTGGAGAAATGAACAAGGCTTTTTCAAAAATCATTATTATAATATATTTGGATTTGGAATTGTAGGTGAGTGGTTCCCAACGTTCCAGTCCTCAAAGCTACTTATGTAATAATAATACGTTGAGCAAGTATATTTCCCTACGTAAAAGTCCACCTTCCTTTTGTAGTTTGCGGCCTTTGAGACTTGAAACTCCACATTTTAGTCCATGTCCCAGAATCTATCAACCCTCGGACCATGGAGAGATGTTAGGGGAAAGTACTTGACCTCCTTAGACATCAAATCTTAGGTGGGAACCGGCATTGCAGGTTCTGTTTAGATTGTGGACGATTATATAAGGAGCGGGGCAGGGACGGTCAACCATCCTGAACAACAATATTATTTGTTTGGATAGAGTATTATTTGAAATATTATTTGGAATAATTACTGTAGTATTTTTTGTGATGTGATGTATGTGAGATAAAAAGGTGATTGAAAATATAAAAATGTGAATTGAAAAATGTGTTTATGATGCAAGCGAAATATTATTTGAGATAATTTCACTGTCCAAATAATATATTTTTTGAATGTTTTTATAATTCTACGTAAATTTTCTGTACATCCTTTTTACAATAGAAGTGAGATATTTGTTATTGTTTAAGTGGATTCCATATACAATAATTAGTTTTTATTGTTAAGTTTTATAAATAGTTCACGCAAATTATATCTTATTTAACAAATATTATATTATTCAAAAATATTATCATGGATAATCGTTCGTGTCCGTGGTCGAATTATGTATATCAACCCATTTGTCAGAATACAACCGATTGGAATCCTAGTGGCATGCACATTAGATTGGAGCAAGTTTTTGGGATCGAAATAAGTAACGTCCCCATTTTGGCCGCTAGCCTGCACACACATGTTGGAAGAGAAAAACCAAAGGGAAAAGAAACAAAACCTTTTTAGAGCTCCGTTTGAATCGAGAAATTTGATGAAAAATTTGAAATTGATCTAAATCCCTCTAGTTGTTTGGATCACTTGAGATATATTTGGATTTATAATTTATTAATTATTTAAATATATTTTAAACACTAAATTAATTGATGATTTACAAAATTAAATATATATTGAGTGATCAAAACAATTAAAGAGATTTGAAAGGATTTCAAATCTTTCAACAAATCTCTCAATCCAAATGCAATATATGAGAATTGAATTTTGGTCATCTTGTGCCCCTTTTGGGGTTGTAGTGCTTTCGGTAAAAAAGCACGTTTAGTTGTTAAAAGTATTTTCAAGGCTTTTGGTGAATATTATCCCATAAAATTATGAATAAAATTTTTTGTGTTAAAAGCACTTTTTGCAAAAAATAAATAAATAAATAAATTTTGGTGCTTTTAGAGTAACTTTTGTTATTTAAAAAATAAAACATTAAATTTAATTATTTTATTCTATATTATAAACTAAATAAAGAGATAAATACATTTAAAAATGTTCAAATCACATATTATCCAATACAATAAGTACTTATTGAACTATATCTCCAAATAGTATACTTAAAAGCACTTAATAAATACTTCTATCAGGAGCTCTATTAGCAAAGTATTTTTTCATAAATTATAATACAAGAAGTAATTTGTATACTAATTAATACAAGAAGTATAATAACCGGACCGAATTGCACGAAATCCCAACCGCATTGAGTTCTTTCCCCAAAAAAACAGATGAGCCAATGAACGTTTGACGTCAATTTCCATCCCAACTTTTTTGCTACCTGTAAAAACCAAAGGCAGGACTCATGAACTGCATCCAATCAGATACTCCCAGGTAACGCTAAATTCAACGAATACAATTGACAAAAAATCTTCTCGATTCGTTTCTGCAAAGCTATCTTCAGCCGAAGAACTGATAATCTTGTATTATACCACCACTCCATTAAAATATAAGGTCATGCTTGGATTGCTTATTTTCGTCGAAAAATATTGTCGTTTTTCGTGATTATATTTCCCTATCATCTTTTTTTCTCATATATATCAAATCGCTATAGTAATTTTTTTATTAAAAATGACGGAAAATGCAATCCAAACACAATCCAAACAATCGAGATGTAATCCCGAAGATTCAATGCCTATTTTTTTTTTTAAATTTGGAAATAAATATTTTGGCAGCACAAAATTTATGATATGATTTTTCTATAAGCGACTGGTTTGACATTATCATGTGGAGAGTTGGCCTTTTTGTGCCTAATTGAATCTCCAACTTTACACGTTGCAAACCAACGCTCATATGTGCAATGTCGTTTTTCAGTTAACTACAGCTGTGATTGGATGATGCACTAATGTAAGAGGCATCTTTTCACCACAAATCCCTTAATATTTTAAGAACTCATCCTGCCTGAACAGCCCAGATGTACAAGTTTGGTTCGAGGATTCAAGTCTTGCTAGCAATTTTTAACACTTCCAGATCAGATCTCATCTGATGTTAAGGGGAAAAAAAAAGAGTTGTTACTACACGACTATTGCAGTTGGAGATGTGGTTCTGTACAAAATGAATTTGAATAAATTCGATTCCGATCACCGTCACTATAATAATAAGCAAAACAGTCAATGGTAGTACCCTGACTGACGGGAAGTTTTACACCAATCAATACACTACGCATCTACTAGTTCTATGGCGTTTACAGGAAGAAGATGAATCGTTATACTCTCATCAGTCAAATTGAGATAAAAAGTGGTGGCACGGGCTGGTCTTTATTAGAAGGAAAACTACCCAAAGCACAAAGGCAAGAAGGAAACAACTATGAGCATGAGATGGATGCCAGCAGCTCTCGCTGTCTCACATGCTGCTTGAGATTTTAGGTGCACCCCCGACTTCGGCCTCCGTGACATCGACTCGGATCAGATTATTGCTTTTTAACACCGCGCGTTTTACGGATATGGTGTGAAACTTGCTACTGTTAGACCCATTGACTGTTTGGAACTTGAGTTTTTTTTGTTAAGTTTACAAGTTTTTTTAAAAATTTTATCTATAATAACCTTAAATAATTTTTTGAAAATTTTAAACTATACATTTTAAAATACTTAAAAATTTATATATTTCAAAAATTTTTTTAAAAACTTTTACAGCAAGTTATAGTAAAATTTTAAATAAACATAAAAAAAACTCACTTGTCAAACAAACAAGGCGTTGATCAAACTCGAAACAAGCTGTCCAATCGAGGAAAATCATTCTTATAGCTCAGTAATCAATCAGTCAATCACTCCCGGTTCAGTTGAGATGGCAACGCATTTGATTTTTTATTTTTTTTTTTTTCGATAAACAACAAAATTTGTGGACCAAATAGGACGAGAATCGTGACAAAATGATCGCAAAAGAGGACGAAAATGATTGGAAAGATTCAGAAGAAAACCGTCTGCCCCTGTTGTAGAACATAGCAATGCTCCCTCTCGTTAACTGCAAGTAAATTAACCAACAATTTAAGGTGTCGGGGGAGAATCCTAGAAAGAATACTTGCTCCCGCAGCCAGAATCCCCTCCCATTTCTTTTCTTCATCCCCACCTTGGTGGCAAGCCAACTCTTTTTATTCCACCACCACCATAGCCAATAATTTACCTGCCACATTTCTCCGCCCCATTCGTCCGTCCTTCCTACGCCCCCCATATTTCCCGTTTGACTCACAATCCCAGCCAAGCATCCAAGAATCAAGATTCAAAGCCAACTCATAATCTCAACCAAGCCAAATAGTACTATATTTATTTTCCTAGTATAAAATCCTTAAATCAGACCCCATTTCAAACCAAAATCAAGGACCTCCGAATTTCGCACCCCTCCTCCCAACTCCTATTTCTCTCTGCCTCTTCAATTCATAATAGTTTAACCCTCGTTCATACGATGAACTGATTGTTTTTCCCTTTCGGGTAAATACTAAATGATCAATGGAAGCCGACAGGGAAGCGTCGTTGAACGAAAACAGCAAGAAGGCATTGTTAGCTAGAAGTGCATCACATGCACAAGATGAATTGAAGAGTTTCAGGACATGGCTGAAATGGATGTGCGTGGATCAATCTGATTGGTGGACTGCGTTTCTTTCGTGGTCTGTTTTTGTGGTATTGGCTGTCGTCGTCCCTTGTCTCTCCCATTTCTTTCTGGCTTGTAGTGATTGTGATAGCAGACACAGCAGGCCTTATGATACCATTGTGCAGCTTTCTCTTAGCACCTTGGCGGCCCTATCTTTCATTTGCCTTTCCCAGTTTGTGAGGAAATATGGGCTCCGGAGATTCTTGTTCTTCGATAGGCTTTGTGATGACAGCGAGACCGTCAGAAAAGGATACACCGTTCAGCTCAATGTAAGTTCCTTTCTTTCTTCCCTTGTTACTTTCTGTATTATTTAAGGTTACTGGCTTTGATGTTTAAGCATCCGACTTGTTTTCATGCATGGTTGATGATCAATCACGCGTTAGGGTTCAAGACAATAGAGGTTTCGACTTTGAAATTTCTGTCTTTTCGGCTAAATCAACCTGATATTCTGATCGTCCACGTTTATGGTAAAGGATCTCATTCTTTGGTTTTTGGAAATAGTCAAGTGGGGATCCTAGTATGTGATTAGCATAGGAAATGGTGTATATACACCTGCGAGTTCGGAGAACTATGAATTCGTAAACATGTATGATTGTGTAGGGTGGTAAATTTAGTGTGGATCTTCTTGGAACATGCCATTTTGCTTAATTGTTTTGATGAGTGGCCTAAAAGTAGTATTTGTTTCCTGGAAACGAAAGGTCAGTCCTCTAGTAGTCTGGTGAACTGTAACCTGTCAAGTGTCAACTTAGAACAGGTTCTTCTTCTCAACCCATCATCTTTTATAGATTGAAGAATTCTGAGGGCAGGAAGTAGTGGTGAGGAGGGGGGGGGCAGGATAGCTGTATATAGGGGGAGGAGAGCTATATACAGCTCAAGACTTAAATTGTTGTTTATCACCCTGTTGTTGAGAACCACATTTATCACCCAATTAAACCTTTCTGTCAGCATTGTGAAGGAAACAAGGTGGTATATTGTGGTTGGATTGTTAAGTGCTTAAATTTCATAGGCAATCCTGGAAATAAAATTCTTGGTTAGTTCCTTTTCAATAACGAAAATAATCAGGTCAGGAGATAATACTAATAGCACCAGTCATAATCTGTGCATTAAGTTTACTAACGGCATAAGATTTGATGCCTAGCAAGTGATCATAGCTCTGGCAGTGAAATTGCAGTGATGTTTAAATCAATCAAGTAATTTGCTTTTCTGACAACCAGTGCTATCTAATAGCCATTATTCTGTTTTGACCAATCAAGTAATTTGCTTTTTTCGACAACCAGACCCTTTCTAATGGCCATTATTCTGTTTTGATCAACATGATTGGCAATATTGTCTTTATATGCAGAGATCCCTGAAGATCGTATTCATCTTTGTGATACCTTGTTTCACAGTGGAGTGCGCTTACAAGATTTGGTGGTATAGCTCGGGTGGCACCCGAATTCCCTTCTTGGGCAACATAATAGTGAGTGACACTGTTGCATGTATTTTAGAGCTTTGCTCATGGCTCTACAGGACTGTGGTCTTCTTCCTGGTGTGCATTCTCTTTCGCCTCATCTGTTATCTTCAGATCCTCCGATTACAAGACTTTGCACAAGTCTTCCAGGTAGAGTCTGACGTCGAATCAGTGTTGAGGGAACACCTCAGGATCAGAAGGCATTTAAGAATTATAAGCCACAGATACCGCTCATTCATTTTATGGGCATTGATCATCATAACAGTTAGCCAGTTTGCATCCCTACTCATGACTACGCGCTCAACTGCTGATCTTAGTATATACAAAACCGGTGAACTTGCTGTATGTGTCCTAATTCCAAATTCTTTTCCAATATTTCCATGATCTGTTTATGAGAGAAATTTGAAGCTGAATGCCTCGTCTTTGGCACGCAGCTATGCTCCGTCAGCCTTCTTGCAGGGCTGATGATCCTGTTAAGAAGTGCAACCAGAATTACACACAAAGCACAAGCCGTTACGTGTCTTGCGGCCAAATGGCATGTCTGTGCAACAATAGATTCGTTCGATACAACTGAAGCTGAGACGCCTATTTCCAGGGTGCCTGTCAACCACGTTTTTCCGGTGAGTTCTGATGGATCAGACGCTGATGATGATGTTGGCGATGAAGAGGATGATATAGACCACACCAAGCTCGTTCCATCATACAACTACAACACAATTTCATTCCAAAAGAGACAAGCCTTAGGTGAGTTGGTATAAAACCTCATACAGTCCAAGAAAAAAAAGCCTTTTACTACCACTACTTCAGGAATGTGGATGATAGTGCATCAAATTCGTACTTGTGTTATTGATTTTTTGTCCCGTGATCATGATGCCAGGCTGTTCTCAACTGTATCTTCTTTCAACTTTTGGCTTTCTTAAAGCTAGGAAAAGCCGAATTCAATCAGAAACTACACAATACATGTTTCTGGAATTCTGATTTCGGCTTTTGAAAAATGCAGCTTTTACGAAAGTCAGAATCAATTGAGAACAACCTGGCTATCTCATTCTCATAGTTGTCGCCTAAATAACCAATCCTCAGAAACAATTTTTTTGTTTTTTGAGTTTGTAAATTAGAGACTTGATGGTGTATGCGAGGCAGCTGATTGTTTTGGGTGTTGCTATGCATGTCGCAGTGACATACTTTGAAAACAATAGAGCGGGAGTGACAATCTATGGGTTCATGCTGGACAGGACCTCGCTTCACACGATATTTGGCATAGAGTTGTCCCTTGTGCTTTGGTTGCTTGGAAAGACCATCGGTATTTCATAGAAAAGAAACAAGAGGGTTGCGAAATTTTGTGTGGGATTAGCATTTAGACCATGTTGGGCAATTGACCCCTGAGAAGAGATTTGAGGCGGTTTGCTTTGTCGCCGCCCATTACCATCCATGAACGATCAGCGACGAGTGACGGCGACGGAGGAAGGTCTGTCTAGCTCTGGCTGGCGACATCTATTCAACATTTTTTTTGTCAAAATATCCGTCGTGCGTTCTTCTTCATCTTCTTCTTTTGTGTTTTTTTTTTTTTTTTTTTAAATAGCTCTTGATTTCTATTTTTTCTTGTGAAGTGTCAATGTCGATTAATGTTTCTTTGCTTGTACTTATGCTGCAGATGATATGTAACGTATTTATATCTGTTGAGCTACTGTCATCATTTTATTTTAATTTTTTTTAAGAAAAGAAATTTGGATAAGTGCGGCTCCCGTCACCACTTTTCTTGGTAATGTCCAGCTGGGATTTTTATGATGGTAAAATAATATGAGTCTATTTTTTTGGTATTTTTTTCGGAGACAATAACAGTTGTATAATCTAATCTATTTTACATTAAGAGGGAGGAGGCGGATCTAAGGAGGTCCAGAGATAACTCGGAGAGGAATGAATCATCACCGGATCAAATAAGTGCATAACACATTCGCCTGAATTTTTTGAAACAAATCACTCAAATGTGACATTTTGGTGAATCTTGTTTCCCACTCCACCAAGCTAGTCCATCAAGCTAGGTGGTAGCCACCGGTCCCTTTCATAACTCACAGTTTTTTGTATGAGTGTTTCGATAAATGGACTCTGCGAAGACACTTCAAAAGCCGGCAACTTTTGAAGTGCTCCGCAGCACTTAACTACTAAACCCCCAAACCCCCCAAGCGATGTGGGAACTTAACCCCACAGGGTGCCCCGGTAGCCACCGGTCCAAGATTGGTATTTTTTGGTATTTACACCAAAGAAAAATATCTTCCCGAGTGGGGACATGGGATGGAGGCATTAAGAAATTTGAGACGCTCCTTCGATGAGCACTAATGATGATCTAGGAGTAAACGATTGTACTCTCAAAGGAAAAAAAAAAAAAAAAAAACTTCAGTCAACGTCTGCACGGTCGAAATGTGACCTTCACTCTGACGTGTCCACGCTGGAATTGGAAATGCGGGTGTACGTGTTCCTTTTTGTGCAGTTTGCCGAGATTAAGCTAAACGAATGCTTTTTTTTTTTTTTTTTTTTACACAAATGTTTATTCACAGGCTTCTAAAAACCAAGTCAAGATCGCTGCCTCCTTCCATGGCTTTGCTTACAATAAAGAAACAAAGCACTCTTGACGCGAGAATAATATACTAAAATTGGATGTGTACCAAGGGGAAAAAAAAAAAAAACTAATGACAGGATAAGGTTAAGAGACGCAAAAAAGATTAATAGTCGAGTGTATTTGGGTAGAAAATTATTTAAATTTTATTTAGTAATCATATTAGCACTTTCTTTCTTTGATGTAATTTGTACCGGATAAAAATATAATTAAAAAAATTTTAAAAATGTATTTACGACATAACAAAAAATTCTTCCCAAATAATCACATATGCAAGACACACTCTCAAAATGAACAATTGATATATTCAACGAGTAACAATTCTCAATGGGATAGTTTTGTTCAGCGATAATAATTATTGGAGTGAATATTAATAGTTCGATATTAATAGAGAATTTGTTCTACCACATGCGAAGACTAAATTTAAATACTTATGTCACAGTTGTGAAAACTTATTAGTGTGCTTTTCTAATTCGTTATTTCCTTTCATAAATTTGTTATTTTTAATGTACAAGGAGTTTATAGCTTTTTGTTGTTTCCATATTAAAAGCATACCTTAGTCATTAAGGAGACAAATCATAGGGACAAGGAGAAGGGTACTTAATTTCCACAATAGTTTCAATAATAATAAATCAGATGCTAAAAAAAAAAAATTAAAGTAATTATTAAACATATAAAAACGACGACATCGAAAGTTAAATTGCCTCGCGTCGGCAAAATGGCTCTCTCCTTTCCGCCTAACGGAAGCGATGGCACTAATAAATCCTTCTTCAAATCCTGTAGCTTAAAAACTAACGAACTCCTAAATTAAAGCCGCGGGGGCTGGTGCATTCGCTTCAGAGAACGTTTAATCATTTGGAAAGCGGAGTCGAGTCATGGAAATTGATTCCGCTCCAATCAGCCGATGCTCCAAAGAAAACCAGAAGATCTATCAGGACTGGTTCGCTTTTGCTGATTCAGGTCTCTTTTTCTTCCCAAATCTCCCCCCTCTCTTACACATTGTCCTTTTTGTTTCAAAATTATTCAATTTTTGAACTCTTTCTATTTGATAACTTTTGAATTTTTTTTTTCTTCAAATTTCAGATGGAGATGGGCGACTTACAGGAGCTGACGCCACCAAATTCTTTGCCCTCTCAAATTTACCTCGCCATGATCTTAAACAGGTTTTGTTCCTAGCTACGTATTCATCATTGTCTCCTCTCTTGTTTTCCTTTTTGTTCAAGTTTAATCTCACTTATTTGTTTATTTAATTCTTTTGGTTTAATAAAAGATTTTTATGGCAATATGATAGTATTCCGTAATAAATGTCTCTCATCGACACTGCTTCGGCTTTATATGACTGCATATTGTAGTTGCTTGTGTTGTTGAAACCATATTACCAGCATGGATGCTCGTACGTGTATATTTCTCAGCTTACTAGCATTTCTAATTAAGTCATGTAAATATTAGCCTCCTACAAATTTATGCCGTTTATGTATCTTTTGGTGATTTTTTTTTTTTTTATATTATTTTCCTTGTTTTCCACAAGGTTTGGGCTATTGCAGATTCTAAACGACAAGGTTTTCTTGGTTTTAAAGAGTTTATTACGGCAGTTCAGGTTCTGATATCTTCTCTCCCTCATTTATATTTGGCTTAGCTCCAGTATCGGAAAAGATGCTAATTTTCTCTTGTATCTTAATTTCTAGTTAGTTTCTTTGGCACAAGCGGGGCATGCATTAACTAGTGATATCATATACGCTGAAGGTAAGTAGCAGTATGGTTTCACCTTCGTTCTCTTTGTTTGGGAATAATGTGGTCCGGAGGAGTGATAAGCATATTGATGCTTTCTGGTCTGTCTGTCTTGGAATCTACTTTATCCTTTTCATATGTTAGCCTTACTAGTTTAGCAAATTATAATTGTTACAGTTGACTTTGAAAGTCTGAAACCTCCAGCAATGGATGGGTTGGAGGCGCTACTAGCTGTGAGTATACCAATGTCCTTCCTAATTCTTTTTGCAAATCTCTTGGATCGTTCACTGATAATTCTCACTTTGTTATTGCATTTATGCAGAAGAAAAAGCATACACCGAAAAGTGACCTAGAACAAAATGGTGAGACTGTTATTGATCTAGCTACATATTTTGTGTTTCTTTCCTCTTTTCCTTGTTTAGAGACCTGAGTTTGTAAAGTTCATATTTGTTCTGCAATTCAGGCATTCCTCAGTTGCAGTCTTCACCATCTGCTAATTGGTTTTCTTCGTCAAAGTCTGCAAAGAAGGTGCATTGTAACAACTACTTTGTCTCTAAAGGATGAAATATTGCACTTTTTCCTATACTTTTTGCATTGATACATTTTACACAATCCATGTTATTTAATTCTTTGCATTTTCTGTTCCCTTCATAGAATTTTATTTCTAGTGTTGGGTAAACTGTTTTACAATACTCTCTATTATGTATCAAAGTAATGTGATGCAGCGAGATGATAAACAGAATGGATTTGGGGCTGTAGAGAGGTCAGACTGGAAGATTTGATATATCTTCTGTGGCCATTATCGAAGCTGCCATAGGACTCTAGTACATGACAAGATGACAAAAAAGTTTGATGTGGACCGTAGTACATCAACTAGTATGCTAATAGGATTTGAACACTATTCCACAAAGAGCACTTCTTAATGTGCAAGAACTTGCCATTGATGATTAATTTTGCATCATGTAAACACACTTTACTTATTGTTTTGGGTCCTATAATGAGCTTTGCTTTTGCTTTGTGTCTTGTCAGGTGTCTCTAAGCTCTGTTACATCAATTGTTGACTGATTGAAGAAGTTGTACGTCCAAAAACTGAAGCCATTGGAAGCAACATATCGTTTCAATGATTTTGTTTCCCCTTTGTTGGTGAGTCATGCGTCTGCTTTGTTCTTCACTTGAGGGATTTGGATATGGTTGTGATTCCATTGTCTTAATTAACTGAAATCATAGTTGACTGGATTGTTCCTTTCCCTAGACAAATAGCGATTTTGATGCTAAGCCCATGGTGATGTTGTTGGGTCAATACTCAACTGGGAAAACAACATTCATTAAACATCTGCTCAAAACGAGTTATCCAGGTATTTAGATCTTCATGCGGAGTCTGCGTATCTACTCTAATATCTCCTTAGAAGATAGGACCTTTCTGATCATTTTATGTGTTATTTTCACAGGTGCTCACATTGGACCAGAGCCTACAACAGACAGATTTGTTGTTGTTATGGTATTTTTGCCACTCAATTATTTTTCATTTTTCTTTAATAGTTCATCTGTATCCAAATCATTATTCAATGGATGAAAAAAAAGTAAATATTTGCCTTACCAGTATAAGCCCACAAAGTTTCAAATATTAGATTTCAGGATTTCTTATTCCAGAATTCCAACTCCACATTAGGCATAAGGAAAGTAATTGGAAATTTGTTTACTTTTATTCTTGGGCTTATTGCTTTATTTTGTTTTCTACAGAATGGACCGATGAAAGAAGTATTCCAGGGAACACTATTGCTGTACAAGCAGATATGCCATTCAGTGGTCTGACTACCTTCGGAACTTCCTTTTTGTCAAAATTTGAGTGCTCTCAAATGCCACACCCAGTAAGTGGCTACTTATTCCCCCTTCCCCCCCTCCCTGCGAAAAACTAGCAGAATCTCCTGAAATGGTTTTCAAACTTACTGTTCATTTGAACTTTATAAGCTGTTGGAGCATATTACATTTGTGGACACCCCGGAGTTTTATCAGGAGAAAAGCAACGAACACAGAGAAGTTATGACTTTACTGGTGTCATATCATGGTTCGCTGCAAAATGTGACCTCATTTTGCTTTTGTTTGATCCTCACAAACTTGATATAAGTGATGAATTCAAACGTGTAATTGCATCTCTACGAGGTCATGATGATAAGATTCGGGTAGTCTTGAATAAAGCTGATCAAGTTGATACTCAACAAGTAAGTAGGTAGAATCAATTTCATCATCCAACACTCTCCCAAATATCAAAATATAGTTCTAGTCTTCTGATATACTTGCCTCCCTTCTCCCTGTATTGTAGCTTATGCGAGTTTACGGAGCTCTAATGTGGTCTCTTGGCAAAGTTCTGAACACTCCGAGGTTACTCGGGTCTATATTGGGTATGGTCTATATTTGCGTCTTTGTTCATTGTATGTGCTTAGCACGCATCAGATGTTGTGAGACTAGGAAAGATTTTATTCTTCACGGAATATTAGAGTGAGTATGTATTTATATCTTGAGCCCTTCAAATCCGAGTCATGTTCAATATAGGGATTTGCTAATAGGATATGATATTCAGCTTTGATCATATAGTCATTTAAGTGACTAAATCTTGTAACTGCTGCTCATCATTAACTCATTTAAGTGACTAAATGTAATAACTGCTGCTCATTTTGATGATAAGCACAGTCACCCTATGGCAGTACAAGAACGTTTTGAAGCCCACAAGAATGTCTACCATTTGGCTTCAATAAAGTTTTATTGTCCTTCTCACTCTTCTGTTTGTACATAAGGTCTAAGGCAGATAAATAAATAATTTGGAATAACTTTAGTGCCAAAGCACGTTACTGCCTCATCTCCACTTTGTGTTTATGTTAATTAGTAGACATGCAATTCTCTTAGCCTCACCATGCTCGTCATAACTTCAACTATTTTTTGATGAGATTAGTGTTTCCGACCGACATGAGGACTTGGGAATGTACCGCTGTACGATTATCATAGATTTTCCTTTTCATCCCATCAGTTCTCCATGTTGCACGCAATTTTATGACTGCCTTGCTCTGGCACAGCTCTTTCAATGACAAGCCTATCAATGAGGTCGCCACTGGTCCTATTGGAAAAGAGCTTTTTGAAAAGAACAAGATGACCTCCTTGCAGATCTGAAGAATATACCCAAAAAGGCTTGTGATCGTAGAGTAAGTTGACCAGTTCTGCTTACGTGAATGCTTTGCTTGCTTTCAGATGAACTAATTTGGCTTGTCGTGGAGTTTAACTTCTTGGGTTGATAAGTTTCCCTGAATTTTTTTTTTGTGCAGATAAATGAATTTGTAAAGCGTGCTAGGGCTGCCAAGATTCATGCTTATATTATCAGTCATCTGAAAAAGGAGATGCCTGCCATGATGGGCAAGGCAAAAACGCAGCAGAGACTCGTTGATAACCTGGAAGTGGAATTCGGAAAGGTTGTTCTCTTTCTTTAGTGCATTTAGATGTGTACAGAGAAATATCACAATTATGTTTATTTCTCGTTTCCCAACAGGTTCAGAGGGAGTTCCATCTGCCAGCGGGGGATTTTCCGAATGTTGAACACTTTCGGGAGGTCCTGAGTGGATATAGCATTGATAAGTTCGAGAAATTGAAGCCTAAAATGATACAATCTGTTGATGATATGCTTGGATACGATATCCCAGAACTTCTCAAGAATTTCCGGAATCCATATGATTGATATGCATATGTCTGCTATCAAATTACAGCAGTTTTTTTGGGTAAGAGAAATCAGAAGAATATTGCTGACGATTTGCTAGATTGGCCGCCCACACGTTCAACTTCTTCTGACGCATAAACATGATTTATGCGGAAAACTACGACGCTGTACGCTTCGATTAGGCGAGCTAGTGTGAAATTAGCAGTGACATGAATAATTATTCAGATTGTATTGTCTTTTGATTTTCTTGGCATTCTTACAAAAATAATATATAATTCCATTTACAAAACTGATATGGTTCCTACCCAGAGACTGCTGCTAAGCTCAGCGTTTTCAAGTACATTTCCTTTTTCTCATATACATGGCGTAAAAGGAAACCAGAGAAATCTTAACAAAGATACAAAATTTACCAAGATTTGCCTTCTCATAATTGATGGTATTCCACTCTTCCACCGCGTAAGCGTAAGAACATACCAAAAAATATTATTAATGCTTCTCAATATTTTGTATTGAGAACATACCAAAAGATGGCTGGAGTCCGAATATGTTGTATATGTAAACGATATCATACCAAATTTACGTTATCACCGTTTCCGCCCTATTCAATAGATATTCACCTTCTCTGTGGTCACCACATATGTCGTTTCTTAGATCGACAAAAACCCTTTTGCATCCAAAGAAGGCCTTGAAGGATCTGATGGCCAACGTTGGAGCCAAAATACACCAATTTATGATGGCTTGCAACTTATGCAAAATTTTCAAAATCGACAGAACCTCTAATCCGCCCACCCCTCGTGTTTCCGTCTCTTCTCCTAGCGAAAGTGATCACGCCGATCATACACCGGCTGCAATTCATTCACCAAAGAGTGTACCACCAGTTTTCTGTCCACTTCCCATTCAATACTCAACAGATTCTAGTGGTGCCGACGACACCGAAGACGAGGAGGAAGATGCAGAGGAAGAGGAAGACGAGGAGCAGGAGGAGGAGGAGAAGGAGAAAGAGAGTCATGTGTTGGACTATATTGTAACGTTTCCTGACTCCGACTCCGACTCTGGTGCTGATGAATTATCGAAGGTGCCTGAAGGGTGCTTGTGTCCTGATCAAGAATATACCGTAACATTTCCTGACAGTACCGACTCTGAGTCTGAGTCTGAATCTGATGCGGAGGAAGAGCAAGTGTTTGTCCATAAAGATGACTGCTTGAATTCTGATGATGGTGATGACCAACTTCACTTTGTGACGCCTCATCAAGAGGAGGACATGTATGCTCATCAGCACTGTGGGTTCCAATGTCATCATCACGATTATCATGGGGCCGTCATCATCACGACGAAGGTTATGGTACCAATATTATGGCTGGACAGGCTTTTACGGTGTTAGACAACCTCCATTCGATTTACTACAATCTTCTTCCATTACTGACCCCCGATTTGATAGCATTTTATGTTTTTGTTTCGGGTTTTGCCCTCGGGATTTTATTGCGTTCTTTTCATCAGGTTCAGTATTGCTTGTTTGATTGAGCTACTTCATTGATTTGAAGCGTGTACTTGTGGGTTATGTCTGCGCATAAAGTGCTAGAAAATTTTTCTCCATTGCTTGCTTCATATGCTCTGCTCTGATCTGTTAATTTTAGGTTACTAAAGTGATTGTATGGGGTTTGCATGAATGCGATGACAATTTGCGGTCAGCTCAGAAGGTAACAAGTTAATGCTGCGTGTCTCCCCTCCACAGTGTCAAAGCCCAAAAGACGCATTCAATTAATGTCAAATCAGTAGTGCTTAATACCCAATTTAATTGCTAGGGTTACGCAATCGTAAGAATTCTTAATTTTTTTTCTTTTTTCTCTTATTCCTTCTAAGGTTTGGAATCTCCCTTTAATCAAAATAAAGAATCACTAGTATTAGTTATTTTGTTTGATAACTTCATACTGCAATCACTAGTTTTGTTTGGTACCAAATCTTTGTAATCAGATCTTTTAGTGCAAGAATGCCACCTATAAAATGCAAATTATCTACTTACACATTATCATTTTGCAAATATTACATGAATATAGGTTCATTGTAGATCTTTTTTTTTATGATTTAAACTGTTGCGGAAGCTTTACTCCAACAAGGCAAGTTTTTTTTTTATCTTCAAAAGGATTCGTGTTGTTCTAACAAGGTCCATTTTGAAAGAAAGTAATTTCAAAAACGCCTTTTAATACAGGGATAATTTTATTGAGCTCTCATCTGATTTTACAAATTACACCGACCTCTTTTGTTATAATAAAATGACTATAATGACCTTCACTTAATAGATAGTATAATGAAATGAGATTAAAAAAATGAAAAAAAAATCATACCTCTTTGATTAATCCTATTTACAAGTTACAACCAACAACTATTCCCTTTCACTTATTATCACTCCATTCTCATCCTGTAAATAGCTCTCAAAATCCTACCAACCATTGCTTATAACTTCCTCCAATCATATCACAAGTGATCCCTCTAAACTCTACTATATATCCCCATTCCTCTTGTCTTCCTTTGGATTAGCTAAATTACAAGTTCAGTTGAGGGATCAAATTTAATGGTTAAAGTAAAATTTGATTTTATGGTCAAAATAAAAGGAGATAAAGAGGCTTACAATAATAATGAAACAAATAATGCAGGCGTTGGACAAAAGAATAAGGCTGTAAATGAGCCGAGTCGAGTCGAACTTTAGGCTAATCGAGCAGAGCCTCGACTAAATTTTACCAAACTCGAACTCGAGTTCGAGCTCGACGAGCCGGCAATTTAAAGCTCAAGCTCGAGCTCCAAAAAAAATAAAAAATAATTATTTTATTTTTTTAAATAAATAAAATAATTTTTTTCTTAATAAATAATAAAATATTAAGGCTATATATGTAATTTTACTATTAAAATAAGATAATAAAAAATATATATATATACTTAAAATAAAAAAATATATATACTTAAAATAAAAAAGATAAAAAAATATTATATATATATACTTGAGCTCGAGAGCCGAGCTTAATATTTTGAGCTCAAGTTCGAGCTCGATTTCGACTCGAGCCAGTTCAAGCTCGACTCGAGGGTAAATTTGGTAATTTGTTTATCATTCGTCCATAATACTTTTTTTCAATGTTAATAACTGCATTTGGATTTCATTTTATGCTTTGCAATTGTTGGTTATAGTTTTACGATAGAGGTAGAGCTTCTTCTCTATATTTAAGATGTTAACATGTTTAGGGATTTGATGGTAGGTTAGGTAATTTTGTTTGAGATGGTGTGGGCATTGGATTTGAAATTTGGGGTGTGATTAGTTGTGAATAGAATTCTGGTTTTTGGGAAAATGAATTTCTTGAAGATCTCCGTAGTCATAATCATGCCTTTCCTTTTCTTAAACTTAATTAATCCCATCCACACCTAAATCTTCCCTAAGGATTTTCTTCAAAACCATAACGTGACTCACGTAGTTGGAGTTGAGCCACTTGTATGGAACCAAGTCATGGCATCCTATGTTGAAAATCATGCAAACATAAAGAGTAATTGATTGTGAGTTTGACTATTTCATGATAATATATGGTGAGAATATTTTTGAAAGATGGAACGAACCTTCAAGGTTGGATGCATGCTCATGCTTTGGGAGAAGCAATTTTATGATTGTGATGATGGAATTACTTGGGTTTGGATTTAAAATTAGCCTGTTTGTTAGTATAGTGGATTTGGCGGAAATATAGAAAAAGGCATTTGGAAAAACGTTTTTTGTTTCATTTTTAACAAAAAGGTAGTTTAGGATTTTTGTGAAAACATAGCCTTTTGGATCTATAATGTTACATGAATAGTAAAAGCAAGGGAGGTAAATGCAATTTAATAAACTGAGAGGAGCTCTTGCCATTGTTAGAAGCTTCAGTGGAGGTTTTCGAAATTATCCCTTCGACAAAACAGAGGTTTCAATAAATTTGAAGGTATGTAGAAATACACACAAATTTTCTACCAAGCTTTTGGAAGAGTAGATTATAATTGCCTACCATGTAGGAATTAGGAAAAGAGGGCAAGTACAAAGAAAGAAAAAGCGTGGTAGTCAGCAAAAGGGTGAGCTCAGATGTGCGCTAGCTTCGTCCGAGTGGTCAGACGATCGTGGCGACCCAACACCACAAGAAGGCACTGCTTTCGTCATGGCAACCCCAGGAATGCACCAGCCGGGAATCGAACCCGGGTCTGTACCGTGGCAGGGTACTATTCTACCACTAGACCACTGGTGCCTTATGATGTGCATCACCTTTTTAATAAATGTCACGTTGACGGTGGATAGCATTTTGTTCTAGGGATAATTTTAGAAACCTCCATTGAGATTTTTAATAATTTCATTTAGTTGTCTCAAGATTTTAAAAATTACACATGCCTTTCATATCATTCAAAATGACAACACTATCCTTAACTATTTTAATGAAATTTCCTTGTTTATATGCTTATACTTAGAATGACTTTTAAAATTATTTTTTTCATTCTTTATCCTTCTTATTCCTTTTTTTTTAATTTTTTACCAATAAAACTGTATAGCTACCAATATTACCTTTAATTTTTATTGTATCCAAAATCAAACTAGTGATTTTTTTGATGAGTTAATTTATCTGTAATCTAATGTTTTTGTTGATCTTTATTTTCTATTTTTATATTAAAATTAACAATAAATAAAAAAAATGGCCCAAAATCACTACTAAATTATGATAATCTCAGTACTTGACAATTTCATAAATTCTGAATGAATTATTTCAACATTTTCTTTTTTATCTTATAAATCTAAATATAGAATAAAATACCATAAAAAATATCCTATCATAGTGATAAAATTATTATTATATTTGTTTATCGTATAGTAGGTATGAATATGAAAATTTTGGTATCTTTTTCTTATAATTGTATTAGATAAACTTATAATTATAAATACAAATAAATTAAAACTCATTACACAAGACCATTTATGAATATTCATTTAAAAATTTAACCATTGTGGTAAGCAAAAAGGAGAGCTCAGATGTGCGCTAGCTTCGTCCTAGTGTCAGACGATCGTGGCGACCCATCACCACAGAAGGCACCGATTTCGTCACGGCAACCCCTGGAATGCACCAGCCGGGAATCGAACCCGGGTCTGTACCGTGGCAGGGTACTATTCTACCACTAGACCACTGGTGCCTTTTGATGTCCTTCGTCAGTTTTTATAAAATTTAAGTTTGATGTTGGATATCATTTTATCTTATCACACCATCATGGCCGTGAGGTGTCTTCTACTTCTTCTTTTTTTTTTTTTTAAGGCAATTAGGTATCTTAAAAAAGGTACAAATTACATAATATATGATAAATGACAATTGTATTAATGAAAGAGATATAGACTACACTAAAAACTTTGTTGCATTTGAAGGGATTTTGATGCTCTTTTATTGTACTGGTGTAAGGGCACATTTAATGTGTGTGCAATTTAAAATATTTAAAATGAATTAATTTTGTATGATTTTGCTTTTTTTTTTTAACATAAATTATATTCATATTATTTTTCTAAAGAACTTTGATTTATAAGGTTACAATAATTTAATTGTTATGATACTTAAAGCGATTGTGGATTATTATTACAATACTTTAAGTAGGTATGAGTAGTTATGTTGGGAGAATTGGATTAGGTGAATAAGGTAAAAATTAGTACTGTTATCAGTATAAGAGTTAATTAGGACCCTCGAGAACTAATTAATTATTGATTCGAAACCAAGGCCCGCAGTGGAAACCCCTATTTGGCAGCAGAAGACGCTCAAGCTCAAGCTCAAGCTCAATCTCAGTGGCATTCTCACGAAACTTCTCGCTGACGACGTCGTACAAAAAAGTTGTACCTCAAATCAGCAGGTAAAAATGCACAGGTCAAGCATCATAAGAATAGTTTACATGAATCAGTGATCATTATCTATTTGGGGTCAAATTCATAAACAAGACTAATTTGTTTAGCTATTCATGGAGGCGTTGTTACTAGCACTATGCTTATTATGTTTATGAAGCGCTTGTTGAAATTCCCCTGAGAATGTTGAACCCTGTGTAACTACTGTAAACACCTTGCTTATCAAACACTTGTACCAAAATTCGTGCCTGTATTAGCACCTTGTTGGATTTTACGTACAAAGGTTCGAGAAATGGTCAGTGGCTTACCTTTTCTTGAAGTTGTTGAAATGGAGCTTTCTGGTTGGGATATGTAAACGTAATTGCCAGTTTTTTGGTTCAGCGTGCCATCAAAGTCGTGGGATTTTGCTGTAATGTACCATGATAATGAAACGGCACGTATTATTATATGATTAAATCAAGAACCTTGACATTATTACCGCATTTTGTAGGTTGCAGTGGGAAGGAAAATGCTGCCTCAGAGGATGAAAAAGGTCATTACCGACAACCCAAAACAACTTGCTGACTTGATCGACCTTGTAAACCTGCCCTCAACGCTCAGAGAATTCACGGGCCAGTCGCAGACCTCGCGTTTGGGGTGCTTTACGCGTGTTTGGTCGTACATCAAGGAGAACAAACTCCAGGTTTGAGATTTATTGCTCAATGCCATTCCTTCGGTATTCACATTTATGTCTGGAAAATTTTTGAAACAGCATGGTTAAAAGTTGTGATGCAAGGTTGAATTACGAACGAATGGTCAGGAGAAATACTCGAGTGCTCGTAGTTTTGATACTTTGGGTGTATCTTTTCTTTTTTTTTTTTTAATATTAGTTAACCTTTGCTTTTCTGTTGGTTTTCGTTAGGATCCAAATAACAAGAATCTGGTCAATTGTGATGCTAAATTGAAGCAAATTCTGTTGGGTAAAGGCCAAGTCGATCTTGCTGAACTTCCTATGCTGATTAAGCTGCATTTCCCGAAGCAGCAGAAATGATCTTCACGTTTGCAAGTCAAAGACGGCTGACACCAACTCTTGCTTTCGCATTCCTTTCTATAGATCGGATGAAAACACAGAAAGTTTATGTAATAGTCAGATGGTCGAGGAATTATTTCTGTTAGTGGCGAGTTGGCAGGTTATCCTTTCCATCGCTGCCTTCAGAATTTTTCTCAAATGTTGTAGTTAGTAATATGACATACATGGATATCAGCTCTACATATATTATTGGTTATCGGCTGCCGTCATGAGAAAAATCCCATTACAATGATAATGAACTCTCTTTGACTCTGGTTTTTAGTTTTTAACTTTTCATTGTATGGCTATACAGAGAAAGCATTGCGTTCAGGTGCTATTTGTTTTTTCTCCCTCTAGATTCTTTGCATCAGGCGTATCATTAACTGCTTAGAGTTTTCCTTTTTTTTTTTTCTTGAAAGAAACCTCACGAGAAAGGTCAGAAAATTTAACTGATTCAACAGTTTGACAAATTAGTCAAGTTTTTCAATAATTGAACACATTAAAACATTTTCTGTAGCAAACAGTGCAAGAGAATTCTTTATGGCATGATGTGCTATTATGCCATTCGTTTTCTCTTGGCATGAAAAGAATCCCAGAATGCATATTTGGTTGCATCTCTGCATCTGAAAGGGTTATACCTGTCACATGAGTAAAGCATCTCAAAAGTTCCAGTCCCGCAACATGCTGTTGCTGTGTCTTCAAATCCTTTATTAGGGCAACAAATTCAGAAGGCATCTTGAGATAGCGTTGACAGAAACCTGAATTACATGTCCTACAAATTTCAGGCAATTAGCTGTAATGTAGACGGTCTTCTATATTTGAAACAAATAGAGTAAGGACGATGAAGAGAAGAAACAATATGGAAAACTAGAAACTGCAAAATCAAGTGGGGGAGGGGGAGGTGAGTATGCTCCTGCTTAAACTTTGTACATCATTTTATTGAGTTTCTTTTCTAGCTCAAAGATTCATCCAGTGTGAAAGAAGGATTGACCAGGTAAACTTTGGATTATGATTTATGTGATGGTGTAGAAGTCTTTATTTTCTTAATGGCAGACGTTTCTTAGGATAAGCAACATATTTTAAAATGAGAGATATTTTGTTTACATTGTTGTCTTTTGAACATTAAAGATCTCATACTATCTTGGCAAAATCTACACAGGATGAACATCCTAGAGTGAGCATTATACTAATGCTTGATTTGTAATTAATTTCTGAATTTATGCCTGATGCTTTCTGGTCCTGTCTATCTTGGAATCTACTGTATCTTTTCAAATGTTAGCCTTACTATTTTAGCAAATTATAATTGTTGCAGTTGACTTTGAAAGTCTGAAACCTCAGCAGCAATGGAAGGGTTGGATGCGCTACTAGCTGTGAGTATACCAATGTCCTACCTAATTCTTTTTGCAAATTTCTTGGATCATTCACTGATAATTCTCACTTTGTTATTGCATTTATGCAGAAGAAAAAGCATACACCGAAAAGTGAACTAGAACAAAATGGTGAGACTGTTATTGATCTAGCTACATATTTTGTGTTTCTTCCCTCTTTTCCTTGTTTAGAGACCTGAGTTCGTAAAGTTCATATCTGTTCTGCAATTCAGGTATTCCTCAGTTGCAGTCTTCACCATCTGCTAATTGGTTTTCTTCATCAAAGTCTGCAAAGAAGGTGCATTGTAACAATTACTTTGTCTCTAAAGGATGAAATATTGCACTTTTTCCTATACTTTTTGCATCGATACAGTTTACACGATCCATGTTATTTAATTCTTTGCATTTTCTGTTCTCTTTATAGACTTTTATTTCTAGTGTTGGGTAAACTGTTTTACAATACTCTCTATTATGTTTCAAAGTAATGTGATGCAACGAGATGATAAACAGAATGGATTTGGGGCTGTAGAGAGGTCAGACTGGAAGATTTGATATTTCGTGTGAGGACATTATCGAAGCTGCCATAGGACTCTAGTACATGACAAGATGACGAAAAAGTTTGATATGTACCGTAGTACATCAACTAGTATGCTAGTAGGACTTGAACACTATTCCACAAAGAGCACTTCTTAATGTGCAAGAACTTGTCTCTTGATGATTAAATTTGCATCATTAACAAATGGCCATTTGTTTGTAAACACACTTTACTTATTGTTTTGGGTCCTATAATGAGCTTTGCTTTTGCTTTGTGTCCTGTCAGGTGTCTCTAAGCTGTGTTACATCAATTATTGATGGATTGAAGAAGTTGTACGTCCAAAAACTGAAGCCATTGGAAGCAACATATCGTTTCAATGATTTTGTTCCCCCTTTGTTGGTGAGTCATGCATCTGCTTTGTTCTTCACTTGAGGGATTGGATATGGTTGTGATTCAATTGTCTTAATTAACTGAAATCATAGTTGACTGGATTGTTCCTTTCCTAGACAAATAGCGATTTTGATGCTAAGCCCATGGTGATGGTTTTTGGGTCAATACTCAACTGGGAAAACAACATTCATTAAACATCTGCTCAAAACGAGTTATCCAGGTATATAGACCTTCATGCGGAGTCTGCGTATCTACTCTAATATCTCCTCAGAAGATAGGACCTTTCTGATCATTTTATGCGTTATTTTCACAGGTGCTCACATTGGACCAAAGAAATATCACAATTGTACAGAGAAATATCACGATTATGTTTATCTCTCGTTTGCCAACAGGTTCAGAGGGAGTTCCATCTGCCAGCAGGGGATTTTCCGAATGTTGAACACTTTCGGGAGGTCCTGAGTGGATATAGCATTGATAAGTTCGAGAAATTGAAGCCTAAAATGATACAATCTGTTGATGATATGCTTGGATACGATATCCCAGAACTTCTCAAGAATTTCCGGAATCCATATGATTGATATGCATATGTCTGCTATCAAATTACAGCAGTTTTTTTGGGTAAGAGAAATCAGAAGAATATTGCTGACGATTTGCTAGATTGGCCGCCCACACGTTCAACTTCTTCTGACGCATAAACATGATTTATGCGGAAAACTACGACGCTGTACGCTTCGATTAGGCGAGCTAGTGTGAAATTAGCAGTGACATGAATAATTATTCAGATTGTATTGTCTTTTGATTTTCTTGGCATTCTTACAAAAATAATATATAATTCCATTTACAAAACTGATATAGTTCCTTCCCAGAGACTGCTGCTAAGCTCAGCGTTTTCAAGTACATTTCCTTTTTCTCATATACATGGCGTAAAAGGAAACAAGAGAAATCTTAACAAAGATACAAAATTTACCAAGATTTGCCTTCTCATAATTGATGGTATTCCACTCTTCCACCGCGTAAGCGTAAGAACATACCAAAAAATATTAATGCTGCTCAATATTTTGTATTGAGAACATACCAAAAGATGGCTGGAGTCCGAATATGTTGTATATGTAAACGATATCATACCAAATTTACGTTATCACCGTTTCCGCCCTATTCAATAGATATTCACCTTCTCTGTGGTCACCAAATATGTCGTTTCTTAGATCGACAAAAACCCTTTTGCATCCAAAGAAGGCCTTGAAGGATCTGATGGCCAACGTTGGAGCCAAAATACACCAATTTATGATGGCTTGCAACTTAGGCAAAATTTTCAAAATCGACAGAACCTCTAATCCGCCCACCCCTCGTGTTTCCGTCTCTTCTCCTAGCGAAAGTGATCACGCCGATCATACACCGGCTGCAATTCATTCACCAAAGAGTGTACCACCAGTTTTCTGTCCACTTCCCATTCAATACTCAACAGATTCTAGTGGTGCCGACGACACCGAAGACGAGGAGGAAGATGCAGAGGAAGAGGAAGACGAGGAGCAGGAGGAGGAGGAGAAGGAGAAAGAGAGTCATGTGTTGGACTATATTGTAACGTTTCCTGACTCCGACTCCGACTCTGGTGCTGATGAATTATCGAAGGTGCCTGAAGGGTGCTTGTGTCCTGATCAAGAATATACCGTAACATTTCCTGACAGTACCGACTCTGAGTCTGAGTCTGAATCTGATGCGGAGGAAGAGCAAGTGTTTGTCCATAAAGATGACTGCTTGAATTCTGATGATGGTGATGACCAATTTCACTTTGTGACGCCTCATCAAGAGGAGGACATGTATGCTCATCAGCACTGTGGGTTCCAATGTCATCATCACGATTATCATGGGGGCCGTCATCATCACGACGAAGGTTATGGGTACCAATATTATGGCTGGACAGGCTTTTACGGTGTTAGACAACCTCCATTCGGATTTACTACAATCTTCTTCCATTACTGACCCCCGATTTGATAGCATTTTATGTTTTTGTTTCGGGTTTTGCCCTCGGGATTTTATTGCGTTCTTTTCATCAGGTTCAGGATTGCTGGTTTGATTGAGCTACTTCATTGATTTGAAGCGTGTACTTGTGGGTTATGTCTGCGCATAAAGTGCTAGAAAAATTTTCTCTATTGCTTGCTTCATATGCTCTGCTCTGATCTGTTAATTTGACGTTACTAAGTGATTGTATGGGGTTTGCATGAATGCGATGACAATTTGCGGTCAGCTCTCTTCCTTCCACAGTGTCAAAACCCAAAAGATACATTCAATTTAACGTCAAATCACTTCTAAACATTACACACAGTTCAAGGCCTCACTATATATAGATGCTGAAGACTCTTGCTGCACCTGAAAATATGGCGAATTTGAACGTGAAAATCTAAAATAACTTGGGTTTTGATAGAGAATGAGCATGTACTGAAACTGCATATAAATATAACGTATCAAGTATCACGAAAATCAGAGAACAAAACAAGCCATTGAACTCCTACCAAATTCTTTTGGATTTTGAATGATTTCTGAAAAAATTCCATATGGGTTGGAAAACACCGGTATCAATTTGACCCTTTTTTCTTCTGATCTTTTTTTTTGTTTTCATTAAATAATGAAGAGATCCTAAACCTTACACAAGGAAAGAGGAAGGTGGAGGATTTGTGACTGAAGCCTCATGATTTACCTAATTACTAATATCCTTTTGGTGATCGTTTAGACCTTGACATCTATTTGTTAACAATGTAGTAACAACAGAAATTTTAAAACAAATGGCGCCAATTCACCTAATAATAATGTGTTAGCTTTAAAAAGATGGTGCACCAATTTACCTCTATCTAAGAGACTGGAGCAAAACTAGTTCACAAAATTTTCTCCTGTGCTAAACTACTCCAGAACTTTTTTGTCAACTCCAGTAATGATTTTTGTCAAGCAATTAACCCTAATCCCAGATTAACCTCCAAAAGCCGGCAACTTTTGATGGCAATCCAGGGACTTAGCTAGGCCTGTAGAGCACCTGCTGCTAAGTGTTAACTAACACCCAATACTCCAGAATTTTCAGTTGTTTGTTTTTTTTTGTCAACTCCAGTAATGACTTTTGTTAAGCAATTAACCCTAATCCCAGATTAACTTCCAAAAGCCAGCAACTCTTGAAGGCAACCCAAGAACTTAACTACCCAACCCAAACCAAACTACTCCAGAACTTAACCGAGTAAATTTACCATTTCTTCCTATAAAAAGTCGAAAACTATGCATTTTTTGCTTGAGCGTGCCAGCAATCATCCATCTCTTTTCTAATAATTTCAAGAAGACCTTTGACATTTGAGATTGTTTGGACTGCATTTTTTAGAATGTTTTTAAAGAAAAAATGTAATATTGTGTTATAGAACGTTTTAAAATATGATGTATGTAAAATAAAAAAATAATTTAAAAAATATAAAAAAGATATTAACAAAAAAATTCCTAAAAAGTAGCAATCTAATCGACGCAACATAATGGTACGTACCAAAATTGGCGCCAGCCCACATTTACATCGGTGGTACGCTTATGAACTTTGTAACGCCTTTGGCCCAATCACGTCACCACAAGTTCCAAGCTTCTCGATGCTTCTAATCCAACCTCTTGCTAGAACTCCAACAACTGGACGTTTCTACCCCGTGAATCGTATCAACCATTCGAAAATTCCCAAGGCAGATAGGATTTTTTTTTCCTTTTTTTTTTTAATTTTACTATGTTGATTATTCCTTTTAATTCTTGATTCCCAGTATGCCTACAGAAAGAGTATATATTAACTTTAGTCCAACTAGTTACAACTTGGTACATGGTATCATATTATCACTTACATTTTTTATTAGAGAGGATCGACAATAATTTTTTATTTTCTCATTTAATGATCCAAACCTGTTACCTCTTTTTAATAAAAAATTTTATCAATTAGACTGCATTTTATTATTTATATACTCTTAAGAGAGTACGAATATTTCTTAAAAAAAAAAGAGAATATAAATATAATTATTTTAATAAATATTTTTCCCAAAATCTCAAGTATACTCTCCTCTTCTTTTTTTTTTTCTTCTTTTTAGTGAGGAGAATCTTAAGAATTATTTAACGTGATTTACTTGCAGGAGTATTTGGTTTTGTGAAAGATTTTACCACATAATAATCACACAATATTTCAAAAAAAAAAAATTCAAGTGCAATAGAAAACTGAGGTTATTTTTGTCATTCAATAATGACTTCCTTCTCTCCAACCTTCCATCCAAATTCCAAAGTCCTAACCTTTTCTTTCTCCCCAAGCACGCCTCTTCTCCTTGCTTTTCTATCCCTGTTTTCTCAAGGCCTTCTCCATCATCTTCCTTCTTACAGCTTTTGCCTTTTATAATCTTAACTATTTCATCCCGAATTTTGCCCGAGAATCCCAACTTTCAGTCATGTTGGTGAGTAGAATTGCAGCTCGTTCATCTCGAACCATGGTGACTCAGTGCCGCAACTCGTTGCTTCTCTTGGCTCGCCAAGAGCAACCATTTGTCCCCATTCCCTCTAGTCAATGCCACTCCCTTATCGAACCCCGAAATAAGGTCTTCTTCTGATCCAATTTTGACATTGGTTTACGTTTTTACGGGTTTTAGTGAAAAGGGTTTTGCTAGGGTTTAAGCGGTCATGTTAGTTAATTTGACCATTTGTTATTCTCTTTCCTGATGTTTGACTCTCTCAATTGTTTTTGATGATTTTATTTGATCTTTTATATGTCTTGCTGTTGTTTCTTTTGTTAAAGATTAAATTTTTATGATTCGTTTGAATATAGATAGGATTTTTCAGTTCTTTTGTTGTAAATGTTCAATTTTTGAGATTCGAAATGTTCTTGTTTTGTTTAGTTTGGAATTTTTTTAGTGTAATTGTTTGACTTGTTTATTGTTTTTCAACCTTTGCTTAGATTAAACTCTCCCTGAAAATGTAAGCTTTTAAGTTACCAAAGTTTGGCTATCACTTTTGCACTGACGTTGTCTTGTTCTGGTAAATTCATGCACTAATCAACAGTTGTTCTTAATTATCTATTGGTGTAAAACTGTTACCTGAAGTTTTGTTACTTGATTATACTTTTTTGGTTGAAGTATAATAATTGGTTTAAATTGGATGAATTCCACGTAGAAGGGTTCTATTTTGTGTTTTTTAAGAGTTTATTACGAGAAAAAAGCAATAATGCAGCTTATTTTCTTGCTCCAGGTGGTTTCAGGGCAAGTGGCTTTATTACATCGCTCCTTTCTGAATGGATCTCCATTTCAACTGTTTGGTTTTTCATCATCTGCTTCCCCGCAACATAATGAGAAGGATACAGCACAACCCGGAGCAGAAAATGGAAGTGATGCTGCTGCTGCAGGAACAAGTACAGAAACAGAAGTTCATGATAAAACTGAAGCATCAGCTTCTACGGATTCTCAAGTTAAGGACGAAAAAGATGTATCAGGTTCTAATGTGGAGCCTAACTCTAACACATCACAATCTGTCAAAAGAAGGAGAAGAAAAACTAAATGGTTTTCATTTTCTAATTCAGATTCAGATTCAGATTCAGAGGGTGATCTCTCGCGGGATGACCTTGTGAAACTTGTGGCGGAGAAGGAAGAACAATTGAAGATCAAGCACGAAGAGTTGCAGAAATTGCAAGATAAAGCTCTTCGTACTTATGCTGACATGCAAAATTCCATGGATAGGACAAAACGTGATGCAGAAAACCTGAAAAAATTTGCCGTTCAGGTTTATAACAACGATATTTAGTTTATCTCACATGCATCAGTGTTATCTTATGCACAGCAAACCTGTTTCAAATCCCCCCCCCCCTCCCCAAAAAAAATAAAAACACCCTTTCTTATGTATGCTGAAAAATTATGTCAAAACATCCTGTATGACTAGCCATAGTACATTAATTTTTAGCTCCACTCAGATGGATCGCTTTTCTGCAAAAAACAAATAATAATGCAAGACTAGGAAGTCCCAAAAAAATTCTTCAAGCTGGGAAACCAGCCAAGCTGTGTAGACATTGTGTAGAATTCTTGAAGCACAGTTTTTGTATCTAGAAGTACTGATTCTGTTTATTTGGGTATTGTCATAGGATTTTGCCAAGAACTTATTGGATGTTGCAGATAATCTTAGTAGGGCTTCTTTGGCTGTGAAAGACAATTTCTTGAAGATTGATGCATCCAAAGACGCTGTTGGAGCTGTGCCACTTCTAAAAACACTTCTGCAAGGTGTTGAAATGACTGAAAAACAGCTGGCTGAGGTCTGATTTTCTTGCCCTAAGCAATGTACATGTAGTTTCCCTCTTACGTCACCATAGTATGTTATGGATTGGAGTAGTGAATGATTACCATATCACATGATCTATAGAGTGTTAACCTCATTGCCTTATCAGTTAAAAATATATCGATTAATTATCACTTTCAGGTATTCAAAAAATATGGATTGCAAAAATATGATCCGGTAGATGAAGAATTTGATCCACATAGGCATAATGCCGTTTTTCAAGTACCAGATCCTTCCAAGCCTCCCAACACTGTTGCAGTTGTTTTGAAGGTAACTTTTATATATCAATTTTGCCCCTTCCATGAATTTAATATGGTTTCATGAACTGCAGGAGGGGAAGTTTGACAATTTTGGTCTGATTTGAAGAATTCTCAATTTAGATATAGATATGAATGTTCGTTTAGACAGATGAACAAGTTATTGTCATATGGTGCCTGACATCATGAGTGCATTTAACCCTCTACATATTTGTTTCGTTTTGGAAATTTATTTTGGTCAATTAGTATTACAGCAGCTATTATTATTAGACTAGGAAGCAGAAGTATCATTGGAGTGATGTTTACTTCCGTAGGTTCCCGTTTTATCTTAACTACTTATGTCGCACGCCTCCTGAAGGAGTGAAGGATGTTATATCTGTATTTGATCGTGCAGGCCGGATACACGTTACATGACCGGGTCATTCGGCCAGCAGAAGTTGGTGTGACACGGGCTGTGGAAAACGATGCAGAACAAAGCTCCGAAACCTGATCAAAATGTATAGCTTACTGCATGCATAGTCCTTGAGCTTGTCTGAAGAAGATCAATGCCATGGGGTTCCAGTCCTATAAGCTCAATCTAATCTTTTCCATTTTAGGGGATAGATCGTAATTTCTTTCCTGTTTTCAGCTTTCATTTATTGTGACGTTGCAGAGATGGCGCCACTAGGAGCAGCAGTGTCTAAATCTTAAGCTCTGTGACGGGATTTTTTTTTTTTTTTCGGAAGTTTTGTAACAGGAATTTTGATTAGAGGGATAAACTTTTTTGCTCCTAGTGAAGTCGTTTTCTCCTAGTTGCTTTTTCCCGTCAACTCGATGGATCGTTGATGGCGGAGCTATTTATCGGCGAGCAAACTTGCCTGGGCAATGGGTACTGAGGGTTCAAATTCAACACTGGCAAGTATCTTTAATTCAATGATTACTATTAAGGTAACTTCTGATATATCAATAGTCTGAGTCAAACAAATACACGACGAGGGAACTCACAATGGGAAACGGGACTGCGGGATTAGCATCAGGGTTCGCTCGAAGTCCCTCTGAAATCGTTGTTGCCGACAAAGGTTGTCACAGCTAAAAAGTGGGGGGGGGGGGATTAGAAAGACAATATAAATCCGTTGGCCCGTCTGCTTAATAAGCCGAGACAGGGCATTGCCCGAGTCAGTCTAGGACTAGGCGGTGATATTGATTTCTGACCCATTCTCTTCTATTGATGAGTACGAGAGGACTCCGCCTAGTGGTGCACAAAGCACATCCATGGATGTTTGGAAACAAGAAAACTTAGAGATATTTACTGCTGATTTTCCCTGAAGCCGACCCAGCAGTACACATGCCAAACATGGAGCTTAATAGCAGAAGGTTTAAGTGGAGCATAATTACAAGAGGGGCTTCGAGGTGATGCATACTCTCTCTCAGTTCATAGTCCTCAATGCAAGGAAATAACTTTCGAAAATGGCCATCTTAAGTGCTCAGATCTTCTCATACAGTAAACTGCTCTCCCTATTACTCCGTCATAATGGCTTCTTTAAGTCAAAGCTGCAAATCCAAATTCTCAAAATATGCGTGGTCCTCACCAGGTTCCTGCATCAGAGAAGGGGAGATCATGATGAAAGTCATAGCAGCTACCTCTGGAAAGTGATCAATCTCGAAAGGCGCGTTATTAGGGACTGATATCAGTCTTGACATGTTTTTTCTACCATTCAGCAGTGTCAAATGTATACCTTTTACACAAAATGATACTCTCCACTATTATAGCATCAGGTCTAAATTCTACCGTAGAGAATACGCGTTCTCGTACTAAATTTTTACTTCCTTCTTGATCATTTTGCCCCTCATGTGCGAGGATACTTGGGTCTCATAAGGCAGTTATTCAAGTATATGGTAATGCTGATATACAAGTCCTTCATCAAATGCAAATGTAGGAAAATGCAGCTTCTTCTGTCTTCAGTTGACAGAATACAGACAGACAGGCAGACAATAATGATCTAAATGTATGGAGGGCCAACAAAATCTGTAACAGAGACCAGAGGGTTGTGAGCTAAGAAACAAAACAGAAAGCAGATTTTAAAATGAGTCACCTTCATTTCTTCCACGAAATTATCATTAAAGTGCGGCTTCTCAAAGGGCATATCAATAGTCATTATCACATCTGCTCTAGATTGGTTCTTTTCAATTCTTGCAGCATCATCGTCAGCCTTTCGACAGCTTCTTTCTTCTTTTCTTCGAACGCAATAACCTAAAAGGTTAAAGGTCACAGAATATGGATCAATGTAGATAGTAATAGGCCTAAATTCTGCTTTCCTTTCCAAGTTTTTTTTGGTTCACATCAAATTCTTCTTGCACTGCTTTGCCTCGCCATTTTCCTCGCTTATAAGCATCAACATCTTCAATGAGATGTCAATCACAAGCTCAAAACTTTTCAGAACGATCAGGTGAGGAGACATTGATTTGATGAAGGGGAAAAGAAAAAAAAAACTGAAGAAATGGTTTCCTGTTTTCGCACGTTGAAAACTTACACCAAGAGACTTTTCTTTTTCCCATCTCTCCTTCTGGCTGGGCTTTTGGTTTCCCTTGTCCCCTAGGTTAAACTAAGCGGGTTCCGAAGTAACAGAGAGTTAAGAGACGGTATAATAATCCCATTTCAAAACCATGCCTAACCATCAGAAGGCCAGAACCACTAGAAACATTGATCAACCCAGAGAAAAGAAGAGAAATAAGCTTCAAACATAAAAAATAAGAAGTAAAGAGGGTGAGAAATGGGCCATACCGGGGTGCGCGAACTTGCGCTTAGAGGGCTCCGACGACTCACCGGAGCTGTTTAGCGGGGTCCAGCGGCAGAGGAGGAGGCTAGGTGCGTCCTGCTCCTGGTGCTGGTGGCCACGCTTGCCGGCGACGGCATTGTTCTTGTTGGGCTCTGAAGGAACCCACTTCCTCTTCCATTTTCGGACAGGGCCGGTGAAGGCTGGAGCAGATGGAGCTGGGCCTAATCCGTATCTGGAATAAAACCGGCTGAGCCGCTGCCCAGTTCCTTCCATTGGAAAAGCTCTATGATTTTTCAGTTTTTGTTTTTTTGTTTGGTTGGGTCTGTTTTCTCTTTCTTTGCGACTGCGATTGATGAACAGAGGAGGATGAGAGATGTTTTTTAGGTTCTCTTTCTATGGGTGGCTGGTGATCGCGGCGGAGTAAGCAGGCAAAGCCTGCAAAGGTTCCATTTCACCAGTTTTCAGACTTCAGTCTTGAAAAGATCTTTAAAAAAATACAAAAACGAAAAGCGACGTCGTATATCAGTACTGAAATAATGATCTGCATTGCACCTTGCCCCGTTAGCGGGGCCACCTGGTACCGTTTTGCTATTTCCCCTCCAGTTGTCCCGTCCACTTGTCCTCCCTTCCAATGGCACTGTTGCAACTTCGCATGCAGGCAGGGACTACTGACTACTACTGACTAGGGAGGATGTTTGGTTTCGTACGTTAACGAGGTTGAAGTTACTGAGGCTTAGGGCTATTAAATAAAACGACCAACTTGAAAACTCGGTTGAGTTCTAATTGATAAACCTCGAATTCGGCTCGTCAATTCTCATAAATCAGTCGAGTTTGAATTAAAAATTTACCCAATTAATTAACGATTTGCATAAGTTGGAACCATTTAATACTTGAGTAGCTCGCTTGAATTTGATAGGAAAGGGTATATATGTTATTTTATAATTTAAAAGAATAAAAATTAAAAATTATATATTTTTATTTTATTAATTCATACGAGCTCAACTCATTTGCGATAAACGAATCAAGTTCGAATTTGAACTCGAGTCACATGTCTTATTTGTCAAGTCGAGTTCGAGCATATTTTAAAACCCGTTCACTAAATCGAGCGAGCTCTAGTCTTGACGAATTAAACACAAGTCGAGTTCGACAATCAAATACTCAGTTGGATTAACACCAAACTAGAGCTTGACTTGAACTACTGGTTTGAGTTCCTTGCTATTGACCTAAACACCAGTGAAACTCCGCTAATTTAATTTCTTTATGATGTTATCGAGGCAAATTCCATCATCAAATTTCGAACAGTACTGGTGAATTTTACGAGCTTGTACTCAAGCTGGGTAATATTTGCGCTTCGCTCAGCCAGTTTACACTTTACACCGAAGATCTCCTCTGTTTCCTCAAAAACTAACCCTTCCTTCGTTAAAAAATAAAAAATAAAAATCCTGAAATACAGAACTGTGTCGTTTAGGCCTGACCATGTCAATATCTTACTACTTGGACATCCTATCCATCACTCACTTCAAAAGCCCCGGCAGGTTAACAGTTTCGCTGTTCCACAGAGGCAAAAATGGTGCTCTATGGCACAGCAACAGCATCAACATTACTCGAATTCAAGGCCTCTCTTCTCTCCCTTGCCCTTCTTTCGGTTCCCGACCTGTGAACCCTCTTATTCAGCCCGTCAAGAACACAATTTTCTTCCCTGCTATTAAACACGTTTCTAGTAATTCACCGTCTCAGCAATTCAAGAAAATCTCAAATACCTTTGTAGCTTCAGCTTCTACTGCGGAAGTTGATACCCTTGTTGAAAAACTTCCAGCTGATCTCAATGTTACTGAAACCGAAGAACCCAATTCTAGAGTGAGTAATCTTGTGCGCCTTTTTTTTCTCCTAACTGCATCTCTAATCTCAGTAAAAGGTGAAAACTTTATTTCTTTGTTTAGAACATCCCATACGCATGTTTTCTTGGTGTTTAATTTTTAAGTGACCTTGAATGTTGCTAACGAGCTTTATCTTTATCGTTGAACTCTTGCTTGCAGGTGAGGTTGAGCGTAGAAGTTCCTCCTGTTGTTTGTGAGGATTGCTACAGAAGAGTCATCCGAGAGTTCATGAAGAAGGCAAAGGTGCTTTTTGCCTTGCTTTATCAGTCTGTTAATATCTGCCAATAAATTGTTATAGTCTTTATAAGAATCTTTATCTCTGTCTGTTAAAAGAGAAGGAAGAATGAAAAAAAAGAAGCGATTTTGAGAGAAGCTCTCTGATATGTGAAATGGGAAGTGTCAAATTTGAGCTTTCCTTTGTGAATACGGCAAAACGAATTGCAAATTGATTGGTATTACAATGCTACTGGGTGCAGGTGCCAGGGTTTCGCCCTGGGAAGAATGTTCCAGAAAGCATTCTTATCAATTACATAGGTAAACAGAATATCCAGAAGGCTATTGTTGAGTCTATCTTGAAGAGAACCCTTCCACATGCTATGTCTTCGGTAGGTTGTCTTTTCTATTTGGTTTCATCTGTTAACGACTATTCCTAGATTATTTCTTACGAACATGGAATGCATGGCGCGCTTCTCTTTATGCTGGAACTGCTCATTACTTGGTTTGCTGACTATATTTCGAATGCTATTTCACAGATGACTGGAAAAGCCTTGGAAGATTCAATTCGTATTGTGACAAAATTTTCAGAGATGGAGAATACATACTCTTCTTTGAACTCTCTGAGGTTTGTTAAAGTATTAACTTCAAGTAACTTCACCCTTGCATGTCATGTAATGGAGCTTATGAACTTGTTGCTATTATGTAGCTACAGCTCCCTATGGTAGAATGTAGTTATAGTATTATTGCATTCAGAGGCAAGGAAATAGTGATGGAAATTCAATACTTTCTTACTTTCATATGCATTTTTCCGTGTGCTCATGCAATTTTTTAGTGGGGTCTAGATATGACATCATTGTTGATGTGGCGCCTGAAGTCAAATGGGTTCCTGAATATGGGTACAAGAATTTGAAGATTGTTGTAGAGATAGACAGCGAGATAGATGCCAAGAAAGCGTCTGAAGAAGAATTAAGGCGTCGCCATAAGTCTCTAGGTTCACTTAGAATTGTAACTGACAGAGGAGTAAAGGTAAAAGCATGCTTTATTTCGTAGGAATGATACATATTCCAAGTTCAATAACTGAAATAGGTCTTCTTGCTTTCTAATGTATTGTGGACTTGAGAGTAAATTTCTACAGCTTGGGGATGTTGCTGTACTTGATATATCTGCAACAACAATAGAGGCAGATGACTCAGATGCTAAAAGCATTCCATCGGCAGAGAGTAGAGGTTTGCCCATCCTCGACCATATTTCTTCTTCAAACAATAGTTGATTATCTTCTGATCAAGATGTTATTTGTCTGTTTTAACTATATATCCTTTTTTTTTCACTTTATTTGGTTTCTGGTGCATGCCTCTACTTTTGCGATAGAAAGAAAGAACTCCCATTCCAAGATCTATCCATATATGTTCTGGTGTGAATGGACTTTATTCTCAAGTATCCCCTTAGAAATTACGTATGAAGATGCAAAGCTGTAACTATGCATCTCAAAGCTGTAACTATGAAGATGTCTGCAGTACTAAACTTTGCAGATTTCATGCCTGATGCTTTATTGCAAATAGGAGCAGTATGATGGATCTGTCTCTAGACTTCATGATTATAAAAGTTTAAGGCATTTTCTTTCTGTAATTATGAATAAAGGTTGACACTTCAATATCTGCTTGTAGGTTTTCAATTTGATACAGAAGATGGAGATAGAATCCTTCCTGGTTTCCTGGAGGCGATTACTGGGATCCAACGTGGTGAAACAAAGACTTTCAGTATGTATTTCCTGAATCATGGGCACAAGAAAATCTTCGGGGTATTGAAGCTAAATTTACCGTGAGTCACATTCCTATTTTAAGGGTCTTGCACATTGATGAAACTGACAAGTAAATTCATTTATTTTCTACATGATAAGCTTTGCTTATTTTCTTCTCTCGTCTTTTTATTTACGCCTTTTAGTACACAAGATGAGTTGTGAAATTCGTAACTGTTGTAGCCTGTGTAAAGCCTGGGCAATTTTGAACTTACTGGTATTCATTTTTGCTGATACTAGCTGTTATTAGAACTCACAGAGTCCCCTGAAACTTTACCAATATTGAGACAGGGTACCTTCGTGTAAAGTTTTCCTTGTTGTCAATGCATCTAACAAGTGTTATTTAATCAATTTGACAGAATTATCAAATTGTAAGGTTAATGTTCACTTTTGATTCATCTAAACTTTATTCAATAGTTTAATATATTTCTGCATGCAACCTTATACATGTTAATGGAACATTTGAGGAAAATGATGCAGCGTAATGCTTCGCTTACTCTAGGTGGAATGTAAGGAACTGTTTTATCGAGATCTACC